CTGGAAAGAAATCGCAAAAACGGTGACGTTGAATGAAACGTCAAACCCTAGAGAAAACTCCATCTCCATGGCTGCTGCTGCCTCTGCATTCATAAACCCTAAGTTGAAAAGCCCAAACCTGAGGAAGAAGAAGAAGAAGAAGAAGAAGAAGAAGAATAGAGATATGGTTATAGAGAGCTACGTCGTGGTGCACAACATCGCGAAGAGGCACAACGTTGGAACGCTGGCGAGGAGTGCCACGGCCTTCGGTGTGACGGAGATCATCCTTGTCGGCCGTCGAGACTTCAACGCCTTTGGCAGCCATGGCTCCACTTCTCACGTTCGCTTCCGCCACTTCCACTCCCTCTCCGACGCCCGCCTCTTCCTCAAAGTACCCCCTCCCTCACAAGAATTCCTCAAAGCATCGCCAATGTTTTCGTCGGTTAATTTGTTTGTTAATCGATTTCTAAATTTGTATGCGTAGGAGAAGGACTGTGATATTTGTGGGGTTGAGATCACTGATGGTGCCGCCCCTGTTAATGAGCATCCTTTCAAGAAGAGCACTGCTTTCCTTCTGGGCAACGAGGTAACCTATTTAATTGATATCGTTACAGTTTTTCTTTTTGAAGAAAATGATCATTTATTTTCGTATAAGCAAGGAACAGTGTGTAAAATGTAAATTCTCCTATTTTAATAGATGAGATGCTACTTTAGTGTTGAAGCTTTGTATTTTCTATGCAGGGGACTGGCCTTTCTGCTAAAGAATGTGAAATTTGTGACTTTTTTGTTTACATACCACAGTATGGGTGTGGCACTGCCTCCCTGAATGTTACCATAGCGGCTTCTATAGTTTTGCACCATTTTGGTGGTAAGTGATCTCAATATCTAGGCGTTTCTATAATTAGTTGAATTTTCGTCCCTGTTTCTATGGGTAATAACTTTTCATAAAAACCAGTGTAGAAAGAAAGGGTGTTGAAATGGTAATGCATATTGTTAGCTGGAAAGTTATTTCCGATTCTGTGAGTGCAAGTTCTTATCTTTCTGAGGTTATTTAAAAATGATTGTTCTTTCTGATTCCTTTTAGACGTGTGTTATTAATCCATTCTGTGTAATCCTTCTTGTTGCTTTGTTTCCATCAGTGTTGTTCACAGTTGCAGTTTTTAACATAGGTGTGCTTTTCTGGCTGCATAACCTTTGTAGTTGTTGAATCTCCTAGTTTTAGCACTTTATGTGATGATCTGTTCTTTTCATAAGCAAAATTCTCATATTCTTTGCATGTGCTAACTGCAAGCTGAAGATTTCATCTTACCATATGATTTGCAAGAAGTATAAAACCAGAGTTAAGTATTGCCTCAAACTCTTATCCTCCCATATGTTGTTAATGTAGGAAAAGAATTCTGCTATAATGTATGAAAGTGTTAACTATGTTATGGTTTTCTCTAATTCTGTTGGTAAGGATTGTTCACAAAACTTTCTGCCTACAGTTAAAAGATGTAGGCCATGCCCATGTCAATCAAGATCAGTAAACACGGTAGCCTAAAGTGCCCATAATTGACTTTACGGTTCATTCTTTTGCTGCTGTCCAGTTGTTCATTCTGGAATATATTCTATCATTGATACCTAAGCTCTTAAATTTGGCTTAGCTTCTTGTCAATTAATCAAAATATTTACATGTGCGCAGTTTGGGCTGGTTTTTCTGAGAGAGTCCGTGATGGGAACAAGTTTGTTGTGGCTGAGAGACCTACGAAACAAGTTAGACGGAATTACTGCATGGAAACAGCAGAATCTATCATTGAGGAGCGAAAGTCCAGAAGAGAAAATGCTTCTAATGGGTTCTTTGATGAGAGCCAAAGCCAAAATGGTGTCTCTTCTTCTAACCTCCTCGCTTCGTTGTACGGTGATGAGTGATCAAAGATAAATTATATGGCTTCCCTCCTTAATACCAAAATTTGACATAGAACTTTGAAAGCATAGGTCAATGGTCTATACTCTTCAACTGTTGCAACATGTGGATTAGGAGTTCTACCCAATCTTTTTTTTGAAAATAGGTAATGGAAAGTTCTACCCAATCTTGGACTGGAGAAAAGCAGTAATTCAATTCTTCAATAGTTGCTAGGTTGCCCATGTGCCATGGTTGACTGAGTGTCCCCAACCTTGTATCAAACTTGTTTTGGTTAGCATCCTCTGTAAAGGTGATTTCAAGGATTATAATACCCACTGTCATGTATTTTATATTAACAATGAGAAGATTAATTGATGTTTTGAGTCTCTGTTCACACGTGAAAGTCATTTTCAGTCCCTCTTTCTATGGTGTCTTTTTAGGTGCTTTTGTATTTTATGCTACAACATGAAAAGACCTGCAGTAAATAAAGTCAACAATTTACCAAAGGAAAGAGTTGGCCCCAAAGCTCATTAGATCAAATCCCTTGGGATAAATTACTTGCTTAAGACAGCAATTAAGTATTAAAAGCAAAGGTGACCCTTTGTAACACATGTAACCTATTGGATTAATTGGCACAAAATTTATGTTCACTTCTTTCTTTAGATATTGACTTTTGCACATTTTGCAGTTGAGCTTTCACTTCTCCTGAAAAATCATAAACATTCTACAGAAGGAATTGGGAATGGAGAATCTACATACGCAAGCTTCCTGGCTTGTTAGACACTCTAGGGTCAACTGAGTTTTGGTAGATTCTTTGTGTTTTTTTGTTGAACCTACCATTGAAAACTTGTCTAATTAGACTAGAGACAAGGAGGAGTTCTGTTGCACATTTGCCTTTAATTGGTGGGTTTTTACTTTCAAGTGAAATTATAGACAAGAAATCTAGTTCCATTGGTAGCAGTTGTTGTGGGGTTTCCAAAGTTTGTCCTGTTGGGAAAAGAAGTTCAACGACATTTTTCCTTTGTCTCTTGGAGCAGTTGGGGGTATTTGGTCTCTTGGAGCTACTTTTGCCTTATTTTCAAGTCTCCAGTTTTCTCTTTTAACCTTGTTTGGTGTTTCTCTATCTATTTCAGCTTTTTTTTTGGCTAATTCTATCTGATAAAGAGGGGGAATCCGAAGTGAACTAACCTCAAAATATTGATAGAATTACAGCAGGAGATGCTGAAACTTCCAGTGCTTACTACTAGAAAATTTCGAGCGATGTTTTGTGGTAAGCGATGCAGGTTAAGTACTGTAAGAAGGAAGCTCCGAGAGCTCTGTTCCAGGATCCAGCGGCTGATGCGGAAGCGGCCAAGACCAAAGGTTGTGATCAGAAGGTTGGGGAAATTAAACTCAAGAGGTCGAGCAGGAGGAGAAGCAGGCAGCAAGAATTCTGCTAGACCGATTCGAGTTGCTACATTTAATGTTGCAATGTTCTCTCTGGCTCCTGCTATTTCAAAAGCTGAGGAACCTGCCATGTTTAACTATGAAGAGGAAGGCTATAAGGTAGCTCCAAGGAGTCCTTTTGAGTTTGACATTCAGGGTAGGTCTCCAAATTATCATCCGAAGAGTATCTTGAAGCAGTCTCCCCTGCATCCTTCACCTAGTCCTGAGCAACTCTGTAATCAAAAAAACCTTTCAAGATCCAAAATGAAGGTTTCAATTAATCTCCCTGACAATGAGATTTCATTGGCACGATCATCAGACATGTCCTTGGGCACAAAAAGCAAAAACAATGTTGTCATGAGGTCGCCGGTGTGTTTGCCCGCAAACATGATGAAATTGTGGAGTGAAGAGAGCTTGAGAAGCAGTAGAAGCATAGCAGAAGTGCTTAGGGAAGTGGATGCTGATATCTTAGCCCTGCAAGATGTGAAGGCAGAGGAGGAGAAAGGAATGAAGCCTTTATCTGATTTGGCTGCTGCCTTGGGGATGAAGTATGTCTTTGCTGAGAGTTGGGCTCCGGAGTACGGAAATGCCATCTTGTCTAGATATCCCATCAAGAGATGGACAGTTCAGAAGATTGCTGATGATGATGATTTCCGGTAAGCCTAATTCCCTTATGGTTTTTGAAGAACTTTAAGTTTTGAAATGCTTGTATTAGAGATTCTCTTGTGGTTTAATACTAGTCTTGGGCGTTTTTACCTTGTGACTTAAGCATGGGTGAAATAAAATGTTTCATAACTGCTCCAGATTTCTCAACCCCTTTTTGTATAATTCAGGAATGTGCTTAAGGCCACAATTGAAGTTCCATGGGCAGGAGAAGTGAACTTCTACTGCACCCAACTCGACCATCTAGATGAGAACTGGAGATTGAAGCAGATACAAGCAATAACTGAAAGGAACAACTCTCCTCACTTATTGTTGGGTGGATTGAATTCACTAAATTGGTCAGATTACTCATCTGAGAGATGGACAGACATCGTTAAGGTAGTTCAGAAAATGCTAAAACAAAAATGGATATCTTTATGGGAATGAAAATTGTTTTGTTATCCTCTAAGATAACACGCCAATGTTTGCAGTACTATGAGGATATAGGGAAGCCAACACCAAGGCTTGAAGTTTTGAAGTTCCTCAAAGGAAAAGAGTATTCAGATGCAAAGGACTATGCAGGGGAATGTGAACCTGTTGTTATCATAGCCAAAGGCCAAAGTACACTCCATTCTTAATGCTTTTGTTCTCTTTTCTTCTTCTTATTTAACTTGTGGAGTTTGTGATATGAATGTTTTTTCGTCGATGGTAGATGTGCAAGGAACATGCAAGTATGGAACGCGAGTGGATTACATTTTGTCAGCACCAAATTCACTTTACAGATTTGTTCCTGGGTCTTACTCTGTCATCTCATCCAAAGGTACTTCAGATCACCATATTGTGAAGGTTGATGTGGTGAAACTGAATGAGAATTCTCGTGAAAATGTAGTCAGACGAAGGCTTGGAAAACCAATTCAGAAGGTTGTAAGGATAACAAACTCTAGCTGTTCTCCAGGTATATGGAAAATTAACACCTGAACTATAGTATTTCTGAGTTAATTAATTTTCTGTTTGTCTTTCAAGTAGCATATTTTGGTAGCTAGAATTAAAGTATGTAAAAGATGGAATGCTAAAGTTAAGCAAATCCAAGAAAACTGATGTAAAATGACACGAGAATGATAAAGTTATGGCAAATTCAAATATTCGACAATTCGGAATGAATGTGTAATCCTTTTAAACAAAGAAGAAAAGTGTTTATATATATAGAGAGAGAAAATGCTGTTTTAGTCTGACTGCAAAAATTTGATCTTTGATTTTGGTGGAGGAATACTCCACATTCAAGGGACTTTTCCCTATCAATGATTTATAATTGTAGTCCGACTGGACGTGGAGTAGGCAGGACACTTTTCTGACATACAGACATAGGTATGTTGATAAGTTTTTTCTTGAAGGGAAGGGAACGTTGACAAGTTTGCTAGGCAACATGTGTAACAGACAAAAGTGAACTACATTTTTAGCCATTACTGAAAGTCTAAGGAATGATTGCTGGAGCCTGGAGGGACCAAAAGTCTTGGGGCAGTTGTACGATTTTCGATTTTTCATTTTCTTGATTCCTTAGGAATCAAATGAAATTTTTATTTTTTTTATTTTGATTGCATAATACAAAATCTCATTTTTTATTCTACCTCACTTGCATACAATATGACTTAAATTTAAGATTTTTTACTTTCAATAGAAGAAAATAATTATTGAATTAATTAGTTCGTTGGTCAAATAAAAATTTTGAATCAAATGAAAATTAAAAAAAAAAAATCATTTGCAATGAGAGTACCTCTCACATTTTCATGTAATTTTTTTTATTTAATGTTGAATTATATAATAAGGTAATTTTTTTTATTTTTTAATTTATTTTATTCACATGTTATATTATTTAAATTTAAAATTTTTTATTTTTTGAAAAAGAGATCACTATTGAGATATTTTAATGGTTAATAGCCCATATATTTTATAAAGACTTTACAAACGAAATGGCAATAAAGTGTTGATGTAGAAATTATCATAACTCTTTCTTAATCCAGTTGATTAATTGCATTTTCAAATATTTTCCTTTAAGTTATTGAAAAAGTTGTCAATTATTTATTATTATATAAGTTGAAGTGGTTGTGAAAATAACATTATCAAATTAATATATATATATATATATATATATATAATTCAACTGAATTCAACAAGAAGTGTCACAATTAATAGATTCACAAGATCAATCGGATGCTTAATTAAGCACAAATGCTTAATCAGTAATCACTCAAACATTTGACAACAACAAATAAAAAAAAAAAAAGGAGGCCAAACTTATTTCTTATTTATTAGTAATGCCCTTCACTTATATTTTCCAACCAAACTAGGACCTTGTAGTTGTAGAGTTGTCATTGTCATCACTCGAATAAGGGTACCCAATCCCATGCCGCTTGTTCGGGAACAGCATGAACACCGTACCGGAGACCGCTCCGACGGCCGGAGGCAACGCCATGAGCAGAATCTTCTCCTTGGACTCAAACTCCGGATAAAAGCAATCCACGGTGTTAGCATCCAGCAGCGCCAGCACAGCAAACACCGCCACGGACAAGAATGCATGCACAAAGTCCCCAACCCTCAGTCTATAACTGCACAGGTCGACGGACTCCGAGCTTGGCGCGGGCCAGAGACCCTTCTTGGTGACGACGCCGTAGTGCGTCATCCCGTCACTGCCTTTGTAACTATCGGTGAAGGATGAGAAGGCGCAAGAGAAGCCGCATACAGCAAGGAGGATGGAGGTTAAGACCTTGTTGATGTAGTGGCAGTGGCCGTTGTTGGTTACTAGAGGGCTGAGGAACTGGAAGAGGAAAACAGTGCCGGTCGGAAGGAGTTTGATGATATTTCCGACACCGGTGAATGCCTTACCGGGGATGGAGTCAGAGGATGAAGAAGGATATTTACTTTCCATTTTTGAGCAGGAAGAAGAAGAAGTGTTTCAAGGTTTGGATTTTGGAATGAATTTTTGAAGAGTTTATAGAGCGGAGGATAAGGTTTTGCTTCTACGTAAAATAAATGGTTTTGCAACAAAAAAAAAAAAGAAAAAAAGAAGAAGAAGGGTTTTGCTTTTACTCTTCGGAAGGTTTTGCATTAATTTGCTCATATATTTCTTTGCTTTAAGCATTGGAGGTTTGAGCCTTGAAGTCTCTATATATGCCAATGTATACTCTACTGTTGTGTGCTGCAAATCTTTAATTGGCCCTACTGAAGACAATCCAAAATGAGATTCAAAACTGTTCCAATTCTGTGTTTTAAGAACAAATAAATTAAT